ATCTCTCTGCATCCTTGCCAGCACTTGTTATTTTCTGTCTTGTTGAACTTTGGGACTAGTGTGTGTACACGTGCTTGTGTGATCTACGTGTGTGTCTACATGTCTGTGTATGATATGCGAGATCTTCAAAAACCTCTGTTTTAACGAGGAAATAAAAAAAGAACTTTAGTTTTCTGCAATTAGTTTATTGAAATGGAAATGTCTTGGAGGTTTCAACAATTGTCTTGCAGTTTGTAGAGAGAAAGACAAAATAATAAAAGAAATGATGACGTTTATCGGAATTGGCAATCGTTTGGTGACCATATCTGTCCTTGGAGCCGAAGTCTTGTAGAAAATTAATATAGCGAACAGCGAAGGCTAGAGTAGATTATTTTCTGGAAAATAGGAACAGAGACATCACTTAGATTTTTCAACTCTCGCTTACATAACTAAAATACTGAAATTCGGAGGAGAACACCCCTCCTCTGATTTTCCTGGGCTTGTCCACCAACATGGAGCATTCCAGCAAGTCTGAGCTGGAAGCGAAGCCAGAGCTACTAGTGATGGCTTCTATTGCTTGGCAGATGCAGGCCAAAGGGGTCTGGGTGGTTTCAGATCTTTTCCCCACCAGGGAGCCCTTCAAAAGTTGGGTGTGTGTGGTTTTTGGGTTTTTTTTTTTTTTTTTCCCTGTTATTAGACCTCCCAATTTGAACTATTTTGGAAATCAGTTTTGAAACACAGAATTGTATGCATCTCAGTTTAAACAGGCAAAAATGTGACTTTTATGAATTTTGGTATGTCCTTAAAACTTAGAGATTGAAAACGGCCCTCCACCATTATCTCTGTGACCCTTAAAATACCAGAATTCTCCACTCTGAATGATTAATCTTATCTGCTGAAAAAATATCAAATTTTAAAGAAAATTAAACAAACCAACCAACCAAAAGCCAGCATCCTAAGTTGCAGGTGATGCTTACTGTGACCTTTATCTCTTTTGGTGTCTCCCTACATCACTGCCATAGATCGTTTGAAATGGAATATTCAGATACTTCATACGAGGAAGTCTTCAGCAAACGTGGGCTTATAAATCAGATCTCGGTTTTCTTGATAGAGAGTGTGTGTATGTGGATGTGCGCATGCGTGTGCGCAGATGTGTGTGCGGATGTGTGTATGTGTGTATGTTGATATACGTGTGAATGCGCGTGTGTGTGGATGCGTATGTGGATGTGTTGTGCATGCGTGGCTGTGTGTGTGGTTGTGTGTGTGCATGGCTGTGCGCGTGGCTGTGTGTGTGGATGTGTGTGTGTGTGTGTGTGCGTATACTGGAAGCTGCCTTTTCCTGTGCTTTATTTTTTCTTTTGCCTTTTCTTGTTTCTCATCTGATGAAGAATCCATCAAGTGAAGTGCAAGTCAGATTTGGGCCCTTGGGTTGCCTGCTTGATGTCACTGAAAAATTAAACCAACAGATACAAGAACCTGTTTCTTCCGTATTACTAAGGTATTGTTACTAAGGAGCTCTGGTGGTGTACTGGGTAAGGCATTTGGCTGCTAACCAGGTCAGTGGTTCAAACTCACCACCGGCTCCATGGGAAGAAGATGGGGCAATTTACTTCTGTCAAGATTTGCAGCTTTGGAAACCCTGTGGGAGGTCACTATGAGTTGGAATGGACTCAATGGTAGTGAGTTTGGTTTTGGTTGGTATTATTAGAGCAAAATTTAGAGCCTGTGTGTCTTTTTTTTTTTTTAAACACATAAGAAGAAACCCAGATTACCATCATCTCGCTGCTGTTCTCAAGAGTCTCCTTTGTCTGGCTGAGAAAGCATTGCTTGAAATCTGTAAGGGCTTCTGCAGCCTTAGCATTCCCTTGTAGGAATGGTTTTAGAGCTTCCAAATATTGATCTTTTGACACTTCTGGATCAATTGTGTCGTTAATCAATTCCTCAAGAAGTGAGCAGCCAGACCCTGGGAAGAAAGCATCAGAAAATGGGCTCACTGCCAGTGGTATGCATCCTTTTTTGGGTATCTGTGATATTTGTCATCTTCTCAAACCCCAGTAGAACACAGATTCAGAAAGATTATGGTGTACGGTCTAGAGTTCTGAATTCTCAGGACGACTTCTCAGTGACTAAACTTAGGATCTGCGATGTCCTTCAAGCCAGGTGACACCTGCCTCTCCCCTCTCCAGCTTAGAAACCCAAACACCAAGGGACCTTGTTAGTTAATCTCAAGAAATGGGATGCTCTCACTTGGGGCAACATCCTGAACATTTAATCTTTCGTTGCTTCATAACGTGCAACACTTCACTCAAATAACTCAGAACTTCAGTTAGGGTTTCCAACGATTGTAGAGGTAATGGGTCTAGAGTGTTGAACAACAAAGCACATGAAGAAGAGATTCTTGTTCCTAGTATGAACTGATGTGACCACCTGGTGCTGGAGAGAACACAGATCTGGGCTTGCATTCAGGAGAGCTGGATCGGACTGTTGGCTCTATTCCTTCCTATGTAGTTGACTTTGGGGTGATTTTGAGCATATCACCCTTTCGACTCATCAGCACGTATTTTGCCATGAGTCAGAATTGACAAGAACAACAAGAACCTCTTTGGGAAACAAATGAGGTACAGGATGTGACAAAGCTTTGTAGGCTGTGAGAACACACTCTGTGGGGGAAGTATAATTGATGACTAGCTTCTGCTGCCAGGACTTTTTCCTTCTGTGAGAAGAATACCTCCAGAGGACCTGAGGTCTCCTCCCCAATCAGTGTCGAAAAAGTAGAGACTGGGTGCCAAAAGATACGTAAAAAGGGTTCAGATCAACTCCCCAATGCCTGGCGGGTGGACCTCTCTTGATATTGGGCCCTGGGACACACTCTGATGCCTGAGTCTTCTCTCTTGTGGGGTTCCTTCCACATTTAAGGAGGTTCTATGAGTGCCTCCTTGAAGCTCATCTGAATGCAAATACCACGCCATAACTTTTTTGCTCCACTTAAATATCTAATGCAGATTTCATCCTGTTTGTCTTGGTCCCTGTGGCCATGGCGGAGCTCTGGTGGCATAGTGCCTAAGGCATTTGACTGCTAACCAGAAGGCTGGCAGTTCAAACCAGCCACTCCTGAGAAGGAAGGTTGGGCAATCTACTTCTGTAGTGATACCGCCTCAGAAACCCAAGGAGGGGTCGCACTATGAGTCGGATCCAACTCAATGGCATTTGAGTTTGGTTTTGTTTTTTGGGTGGCCATAGAGGGACAGCCCAAATAACAGTAAAATAAACCACATGCAGCTTCAATACAGAAGCAAAGTCCATGAGGGAAACCACATCTCTGATTCTCTAGATTCTCTAGAAAGAATGGGTCTATCACACCCAAACCCTTTGTACTGGGCCTCATCAGCAGTTGGGCACGGGGAATGGGGGATGTCCACAGGGACCCGGGCCACAACCGTTTGCCCACAGGACTCACCTGCATAGCAATAAAGGGGGAAGGCAGCCAGCATGAGGACCATCACCAGCTTCATGGTTCAGGTGGCTGTGTTGGCCGTTGAGCTTTATGCAGAGTGATCGAGAACCTCGGTCTGAGAGTGAGCTCCAGCACACCTCTATTTATTCTCTCAGTAGCTGCCTTAATCCCTCCCAGCGATGAGGGAAGGCGTCCCAAGTCAACTTGGCATTGAACCAGAAAACAACAGAGAGGAAGACCAATAAGAACCCAGCCAGCCAACACTCCAAGGAGACAGTGACTTTGGGTCCCTAGACAATTTGAGGACTTCGGTAAAGGCGTATGGCTTGAGGTGTTGGCATCATTGTTAGTTTTATTATTACTGCTTCAATCTTCAACATCTCCTTATAGTTTTCCTCCCCTTTCCTGTTCAAATTCAAAATGCTTTATAACCTCTGATCTAACCTGCACCTGGGCTAAGTGCCATACCTCAAATCTCCTTGAGGAGGCAGGCTTCTCTAACCCATAAACATCTTTTTTAATGTAAGGCACTTTAACTTTTAGGGGAAAAGTTTAAGGACATCCTAAAGTCCACTGAAAGTTTTTTGGTTTTGTTTTTATTTTTCACAAGGAATATCTAGTTTAGTTAACTGACCTTCACAGATTCACTGTATTGTAAATCTATGGATTAATTTTCTTTTAGTTCTTTCTTGTTGTTGTTATGTGCTGTTGAGTCAGACCTGACTCATAGCGACCCCTCCTTGGGTTTCTGAGGCAGTATCACTATGGAAGTAGATTGCCCAACCTTACTTCCGAGGAGTGGCTGGTGGGTTTGAACTGCCAGCCTTCTGGTTAGCAGTCAAATGCCTTAGGCACTACGCTCCCAGAGCTCCCAGTTCTTTCTTAGTCTTTAGTATTTCTCTTCCTCCAATTCAAAGGATGATGGGAATGGTGGAGTGATTCATTGCTATGGGGAGGCAGTGCTGAGTGGTGGAATGGTACCTGGATTTGAGCTCGCGCGCATGTGGAGCTGAAACCTTAGGTAGCCCTAGTTGTGAAGCGACTGTGGGCAAGTTATATTACCGATCTCTCTGAGCTTCATTTTCTTCATTCGTAAAATGGGTGCCCATGACGTCGCAATGGGTTTTCATAAGGATTGCAGGTGCTGTGTGTGAAGAACCTATCACATGGCCTGTTGCTGTTCTGTGCTGTCAAGTTGATTCCGACACATAGTGACCCTATATGACAGAATAGAACTACCCATAGGGTTTCCTAGACTGTAATCTTCAGGAACACATTACCAGGTTTGCTGGTGAGTTTGAACCATTGACCTTTCAGTTAGTGGCTGAGCACTCCACCGTTGTGCCATCACATTGATGTAGCCTATAGTAATCTTGTGAGATACGCAGATGATACAACTTTGCTTGCTGAAAGTGAGGATGACTTGAGGCACTTACTGATGAAGTTTGAAGAGTACAGTCTGCAGTATGGATTACATCTTAATATAAAGAAAATAAAAATCCTCACAACTGGACCAATGAGCAGCATCACGATAAACGGAGAGAAGATTGAGGTTGTCAAAGAATTCACGTTGCTTGGTTCTACAATCGATGCCAATGGAAGTAGCAGTCAGGACATTAGATGACATATAGCATTGGGAAAGTCAACCACGAAGGAACTGTTTCAAGTGCTGAGGAGCGAGGATGTCTCCTTGAGGACTAAGGTGTGCCTGACATAAGCCGTGATATTTCCAATCGCCTCATATGCATGCGAGAGCTGGACAATGAATAAGGAAGACCGAAGAAGAGTTGATGCTTTTGAGTTGTGGTGCTGGCGAAGAATGCTGAAAGCACCATGGACTGCTAAAAGAACTAACAGATCTGTCCTGGAGGAAGTGCACCCGAAATGCTCCTTGGAAGCGAGAATGGCCAGACTTCATCTCACCTATTTTGGTCATGTTGTTAGAAGGGACCATTCCCTGGAGAAGGATGTCATGCTTGGTAGGGTGGAGGGTTGATGAAAGAGGGGGAGGCCTTCAACAAGATGGATTGACACAGTGGCTGTGATGATGGGCTCAAGTATAGCAGGGATTTTGGAGTTGTGCGGGATCGGGCAGTGTTTCGTTCTGCTGTGCGTGGGGTCACTATGGGTTGGAAATGACTCAACGGCACCTAACAACAACAATAACAACAACATGATAATCTTGAACAATGAGAACCCATTCACCCACATTCTTCACCAAATGCCTGAGCTTCCATGAGCTGTGCTATGTGCTGTTGGTTCGGTTGTGGGAATAGATCCTGGCTCTTATGGGGCTTGCTTTCCAATGAGAGAGGCAAAGAACAAGCCTACAAAAAGTGAGTAATCCTGGAAAGTGGTCATTTCTACAAAGAATAACAAAATAACCCCAAAAGCAGAGTGACGTGATGGTCTGACTAGAGTAGGGACAGCGTTTGCTAGGGCGGTCTAGGAGAAGTCTGGGGGAGATAGCATTTTAGCTGAGACAGAGTCACTATGAGTTGGAATTGACTCAATGGCAGTGGGTTTGGGATGAGTGGGCAGCAAGATCCAAGGGAACATTAAGAGAAGAGTGTTCTAGGCAGAAGGAACAGCGGTTACTCAGGCCCTGAGGGCCATGGTGCTTGGCAAGGTCAAGAATAACAAGGAAAGAGCATCTGGAGCGTAACAAGAGAGGGAGAGAACAGCCTCTTTTGATAGAACATCCACCGAGCTTGAAGTAGGGACAATAGGGATAAGAAAACAAAACTAACTCAGGTTTAAAAAGAAAAGGGAGGGTGGATGAGAGAACAGAGAGTCAACCAGTTTTAATCACCCATGAATGTAATAATATTAGCTGTATGGATTACTTGTGATATCCTGTTTTCCATCATTTAGCTGGACCATAAATTACCAATAAAAATCTGATTTAGGCAGAGGCTAGCAACAGAGAAGAGAGGTGTCTAATTGTGTGTGTGCTTTCATGCACTTGTACATGGTTGTGTCCTTTAATCCAAAGTCAACGAAGGGCCATGATAACCAAGTGGAGGCTATCTCTTTGCACAGGACTTAAGGGGGCTCTCTTTGTCCCCGGTCACTGTGGACCTGCCCTGTTACCTGCTGGGACACAGGCTCCTTCAAGGGTTTCTTAGTCCTTAAAAAAAAAAAAAAAAAAAATCCCCCACGTCAGGGTCACCATGTGCAGCACCAAGGAGGTTGTGTTGACTTTACCCACCAAGGTTTATCCAGATAGCTGCTGGCCATTCTCTGCTGAATCAAAACACTAACTCAGTCCAGAAAAGGCTGATTGGCAGGTGAGCATTTACAGGCAGAAACAGGAGAACCCACAAGTTCAAAAAATGTTGGTCTGATCTTTTTCTCTAAAGAGAACTCATGTAAGTAAGTAAGTCACCATACTGAGTTCAGAAAGTAGAGTAGTGGTGTTCAGTGTTTGTGTTGTTGTTGGTGTCGTTGATTCCAAGTCATAGTGACCCCATGTGACAGAGCAGAACTGTCCCATAAGGATTTCTTGGCTATAATCTTTATGGAAGCAGATGGCCAGGCCTTTCCCTTATGGAGCCACTAGGTAGATTCGAACTGCCAACCTTTTTGGTGAACAGTTGAGCATTTAACAGTAAGTGCTACCAGAACTCCTTACCAAGCACCTACCATGACAAAGGAGCCCTGGGGTGCAAATGGTGGTTAACCCCTTGGCTATTAACTGACAGGTTGGAGGTTCGAGTCCAGAGGTATCTCGGAACAAAGACCTGATAATCTCCTTCTGAAAAGTTAGCCATTGGGAATCTGATGGAGCACTGTTCTATAATTTGATTCTGACACATGTGGGATCACAGTGAGTCAGAGTCGATTCGACTGCACTTTACTTTTCGGTCTTACCTATGACGAAAAAGCATGGTGCGAAGATAAATCCTTTATAGACTCGATGCTGAATCAGCTGTAGGAAATGATCTAGTGTGGAGGAAAAATAAGGCATGAGCTTACATGGCTTCAGGCTGGTAGAAAACATTAGCTGTGCACACAGGAACTTGATTTAGCACTTGAAAGGCCTTGCCATACTCAAATTGTCAGGTCTGACTCCACGGTACATAACAACAACAACAACAATACTTAAATAGTAAGGAGCGATAGTGTGAGAGCCCTTTCTCAGTGTTTTGTACATTTTCACAGAAAAGTCTAGGAGGAAAAAAGTTGTTTTGACATGAAGATAACTCTTTCTGTTTTTTGGTTTTAAATTGAAGTTCCTTCACATATGTCATCGGGAAAGAACACTCCCTGAAGAAGGGCATGATGCTTGGCACAGCAGAGGCTCAGTGAGAGGGAGGAAGGCCCTCAATGAGATGGGTCGATTGACGCAATGGCTGCAATGATGGCTCAAGCACAGTGACAATTTTGTGGATGGCACAGCACTGGGCAGTGTTTCGTTCTGCCCATGGGGTTGCTATGAGTTTGAACTGGACTCAATGGCATCTAACAACAACAACAATAGAAAGTGATATGCAGAGAGGTTAAGTAACTTGCCTGAGGGTGCACAGCTAGAACTCGGCAGAGCCAGAGTGTGAATGTAGGTGTTTGGGCTTTAGCGGCTCCTCTCCACTGTATTTAATTCCTTAGCTTGACCCCCAGGGACTTTCCCATTGTAGCTCCCACAGATCCTGTGGCCTGACTCCCACTCCCGAGCTGAGCTACGTGGACTCTGGGTTGTTTTCTGGACCTGCCTGTAGTTTTCTGTTTCGGGCCTTTGCTCCCTGTGAACTCCCTGCCTCCATTGCTCTTGGCGTATCTCTCTGGGTGGAAACCACTGGGTGGAAACCACTTGTTCATTCTCATTCTCCATTCCATACCAGGACAGCCCTCTTCTTGCACCCTTCCTGCCCCTGACTCTCCAGGAGCTCTCTGTCACAGGATTCCATGACTCCTTCATAACAAGTCTGTGACCCTGCCCACATGGCCCTCTCTTCCTTGCTTCTATTCCTTGAGGGCAAAAGCTGTGCACATCTTGTCTTTGTAGAACAGTCATGCAGTAGGTATCTAATAACTAATTGCATAATTGATCTTCAGAAG